TTTGGCTGGTAAATATAGGCTGGTAGATTACGTAACTACACTTTTATGTTGCCAAAAAGCGTCCTACTTCATTGATGGCCATTAACACCATGGTTGGCATAAAATCTTCACAGATTAGTTTATTTGATTAGTGACCTATAATCTTGACCTATATGTGTATATACTATAAATACAATACTGTATAATATATGGATACTTTATATCCCTTGTGCGTCAATTTAAATGTCCTAATTTTATGTCCTTTGAGGACAAAAATGTCCATGTAAAAAAATATTATTTAATTTATATTTTCTTTCCACTTTCACTGACGTGGATATTTTTTTATTTTTTACCATCATCACTCCTGATCATAACTACCTCATAACTTACTTTTATGATTTTTTCTTATTTTCCATATACTAAATACTATGTAATACTTTTTTTTTTTTTTACAGTCTTGGATATGTCAAAAACAATTTAGTCAGATTAAAAAAAACAAAAAAAACTACCACACACATACAAATCATACTCCAATATGCACAAAAATATACCCACACAATTATAATTACATCATTTCAATTCAATTGGTCTTTTTTTCAGCAGAAGCAGAAAAACGGTAATAACATGTATTTGCTCCATAGGTAAATCCTGAGGAAATGGTGCCATCAAGGTGAAACATTGTAAAAAAAAAAAAATTAAATAGTAAAAATGTTGAGGCCTTGGCAATTGAATGAAAGTCTATTAACAAAGAATGCGTGATTTTATGCCTAAATGGCACTGGGATTAAATATTACAGTTTGAATGTGTTTCAATGGGGACATTTTTGTCCTTAAGGTCCAGAGTGTAATTATTTTTTCTACCTAGTGTAAAATAGATTTATGAAAGGAAATGAGGGTGAATTTATTAAAAATACAAAATTTCTGCTGGTTGCATTAACACGGCAAAAAAAAAAAAAGATCACAAAAACAACAATGAAAAGACAAAAAATGTCCATAAGGGATATCTCACAGTCTTAAATTAAAATATATTTTTTAGTGCTGTCAAACGATTAATCGCGATTAATCGCATCCAAAATAAAAGTTTTTGTTTACATAATATTTGTGCATGTACTATGTATATTTATTAAGTGTATATATAAACTCACACACATGCATGTATATATTTAAAGGGATAGTTCACCCAAAAATGAAAATTTGATGTTTATCTGCTTACTCCCAGGGCATCCAAGATGTAGGTGACTTTGTTTCTTCAGTAGAACACAAATGATGATTTTTAACTCCAACCGTTGCAGTCTATCAGTCGTATAATGCATGGCAATGGTAACAAAATCTATGAGAGTAAAAAAAACATGCACAGACAAATCCAAATTAAACCCACAAAAACAACAATGAAAAGACAAAAAATGTCCATAAGGGATATCTCACAGTCTTAAATTAAAATATATTTTTTAGTGCTGTCAAACGATTAATCGCGATTAATCGCATCCAAAATAAAAGTTTTTGTTTACATAATATTTGTGCATGTACTATGTATATTTATTAAGTGTATATATAAACTCACACACATGCATGTATATATTTAAAGGGATAGTTCACCCAAAAATGAAAATTTGATGTTTATCTGCTTACTCCCAGGGCATCCAAGATGTAGGTGACTTTGTTTCTTCAGTAGAACACAAATGATGATTTTTAACTCCAACCGTTGCAGTCTATCAGTCGTATAATGCATGGCAATGGTAACAAAATCTATGAGAGTAAAAAAAAACATGCACAGACAAATCCAAATTAAACCCTACGGCTCGTGACGACACATTGATGTCCTAAGACACGAAACAATCGGTTTGTGCGAGAAACCGAACAGTATTTATATCATTTTTTATCTCTAATACACCACTATGTAAACTTTTGGATGCGATTAATCGTTTGACAGCACTAATATTTTTGTGTGTAGTTAACAGGGCCATGGAGGAGTTTGTGGGTCAGGTTTGGATACGATCCTCGAAAAACTGCTGAAGCAAAAATCTACCAGGTTCTAGACTTCAGGATCCGCTATGGAATGAAACATGGTGAGCGATCAACACAAACACATTCATAACAACCCCAAATGTGATTCATTCCTGGACACAAACATTACCGGAATGCTATGAAGAACTGTCCATAAGTGCACAGAATCTGCTGTGAGCATAAATGACAATACAACTAATTCCAGTGATTTTTCTGTCTCACTAGGATTTGGTGTCAATGACATGCCAGTGAAACCCAAGAGAAGTGCTTATCATTACAGCCACCCAACCACTATCAACAGGGCAGGTACACAGATGCAAATGTTCTGGCACACAAAGTTCCCTTAAAGCGTTAATTATATCTTTTTTATTTCGTTTTTCACGTTTGCCGCCCACTCTTTGACCTTTAGAATCCAATAGGACTTAGCTTCTGAAATTCACCATTCAGAGTTTTGGGGTCAGTACGATTTTAAAAAGTGTTTTTGAAGGACACTCACAAAGCCTGCATTTATTCAATCAAAAATACAGTAAAAACAGTAATAATGTGAAAAAACAAGTGTTTTCTGTTTTAATATATTTAAATGTTATTCCTGTGATGTAAAGCTGAATTTCCAGCAGCCATTCCTCCAGTCTTCAGTGTCACATGATCCTTCAGAAATCATTCTAATATGCAGATTTGCTGCTTAAGAAACACTTCTTACTATGTCCCTATTGTCACTTTTGATCAATTTAATGCATCCTTGATGATTAAAAGAATGAATTTCTTAAAAGCTAACCCCAAACTGTTGAATGCTTGTATAATAAATGAAACTATTTAATTGCAAAAAATCTAAAAGATGTTCATGGTAGCGTATGTTTGATTTCTTTAGTCCCTCAACCTGCTAGTGTGACTGACATCACCCAGGAAAGTGCTTCATCTTCAGGACCCAAACCTGCCACTGCCAAGTACTTACTAAAGGTATTCTCAGTTATTTCAAGGGTTTTATCACAGTGGATTTTGCGGGACAGCTAATGTCTCAGAAGAGTTTTAAACCTATTTTGTGGGATGTTCTCTCCAGGACTCGGTCTACATCTTCCAGGAGGGAATGCTTCCTCCATACCGCCAGATGTTCTACCAGTTGTGTGATCTAGATGTAGAAAAGTAAGAACTTGTCTTGTCATATTCATTCATTCACTACAAGACCCATCATCCCACTCCTCCTGACTTTGCAGCACTTCTTTTTCCCTCTTTTCAGAATAAAGAATATCATCCATAAGAATGATGGGAAAGAGGAAGTGTGTGATGAGAGAGATGGCTGGTGTGTGCCTCATACAGCCGACGAGCTCAGGAATATAATCTCTGGAATGATCCAACAACACGTCCAAGCCAACCGGCCAGGTAAAACACAATAAATAATGCAGTTATTTATTAAATAATATAATTATTATTTTTTTTTATATTGTGACATTTTTATTGTTGCAGCTTCATCCACCCAAAAGCCTGTAAGAACTAGATCCAAAACTGTTGACAGCGGAGAGGAGGAAGATGAAGATGACGACGATGATGATGATGAAGAGTACAAGCCCTCTGATGGGAGCGACAACGAAATGGAAACTGAGATCGCAGATTACATGTAATTCGCCTTTAGTTTTATCTATGGCACTTATAAAGGATTTGTTGTGTAAATGTTCATGTTAAAAACTACTTTGTATACTGATAGAAATTAGTTTGACGTTTTTTCCTGTTTGCATAATAAATGTTTTTTTTTTTTTTTATGAACTGAATGTGAGTAAATTCTTAAAAAAAAAAAAAAAAAAAAAAACCGACAAACAATAAAACAGTAGTCTATGAACCATTTTTGTTGATTTATCAGCAAAAAAAACTATATTGTGGTATAAAATTACTCGTATACTGTGACTAGAATGAATGAACAGTCATTCTGGTCCTTTAAAACTCGATTCAAAATGGTGTACAATTATTTAATATTGTCATCCTGGTATCGCGGACTCGCTCTCGTTTCATACAAACGCAGCTGCTGCCATTTTGCTACGATTGTTTTGTACGCTGTAATGGATTATAAGAGAACTAACAAACTGGTAAGGTTTTAAAACATTTTCGTCTTAATTCTTTTATTGCCTTAATTATTTTTGTGGTGAAATGTTGTGTAATAAGTGGTTTGACTGTACCGTTTCCCTTAAATGTCCGTCTAGTTTGAATTTGCCGCTTGCTCGCAACTGCTGTCTTCACGGAAGCTTTGCGTTCAAATATTTCAACTCAAATCAATATTTCGCGTCTAAGTTAATTATTTACTTATGTGGCAAGTAACGTTAGCCGTGTAATAAGCGGGATAATGTACATCCAGCCGGTTATCTCAGAATAAACCCCTTCAGGCTGATAAAAGACTGTCGGGGTTTATTCCGAGATAACAACCGGCTGGATGTACATTATCCCTTACATATTATGTATTTAAGCGTTTATATATTCACTACTGTTAAAAAGGGGTCAGTACATTTTTTGTTGTTGTTTTTTTAAGAAATTATCACTTTTATTCGGCAAGGACACATTCAATTGATCAGTAAAAACATTGTCAGCAAAGACTTACAAAAGATTTCTATTTCAAATAAATGCTGTTCTAATGAACTTTATGTTCATCATCCTTTTATTTCTTATTATATTATTTTATTGATTTACTTTAATAAACAATTAATATTACTTTAATTGTAGTCAAGACTTTAACAGATGGTAAATTGACTTAATTTCTTTGGTTAAGAAAAATCTTTGTGGAATTATCCTGCAAGATGGCACAAATATTTTTAGCATTCATAAATATGTCTTTGTAATGGAAAAATGTGTGTTGTTGAGATTACAAAAACTACTAATGAACTCCACACAAATTTTCCATGAGAGTTTAACACAACTGCACACATGTTGTCCAGTTAATACATTAATACAGGGACTGTGTACTTTAAAGATACGGCTTTGGCGCACCTTGAAAAGGAGATATGATTTGGCCTGTTTATAAAAGCGGCAGAACTCCCTTCAATGTCACACTTGCAGCAACTGTCTGATGATGATGGCGATGCTGGGAGTTTTCATCTCTGTTGCCCTCATCCTGGGCACAGCAAATGCAGCTTCTGTAAGTCATGATATGCATTCATTCAAATAGATTTTACTAACCACTTGGATGTGTATTTGTTGGGGGGGGAAACGTTGTATTTAACAGTTTCATAGTCAATTATGCAAGACTTTGGGATGGAAAGACTCCATATCCATGCCTTTTAAAAATCTGACTTTTTAACCTATGCAGTACAATAATAAACATATTATGAATCGGTGTAAAATATCAGTCACTGAAAAGTAATGTAGCCAAAGCCTAAAGCGTATTTTGCATATTTTTACCTAAAAATGTGACTGGGAAATTGTAATTACAGAATGGCCTTTAGATAATGTTTTTTGTTTGTGATATAAATCTTTTATCAATTGTATTTCCTATATTTAAATATATATTTGTACAATTTTTATATACATTTTTATAATTAATAATACTGTATGTCACTTTGTTATATTATGCTTAACAGTTCAAAGTAAATGCATAACATATAATTATGCTTAAGAGTTCATTACGTTTATGTATTAGAGATGTTATTATGAAGTATTATACTTTTAATACAGGGCACTTAAGACATGATAATGGGGGATTTTGCATTATTCGGAGAAACACTGCCTTCACTCACAATTTTGCGCAACTTTGCATTAATTCACCTTGTGACCAAATATAAAGTTTCTCATGGGAACGTAAAAATTTTGTGAATGAGCTCAACAGTTTTGTAGAATGTAAGAATTGAAAAAATGTTGAAATATCTATTTATTTTAACTTGGTAACTTGGTCTTATTTTACACGCCATCATTTTTAGTCGAGTACCAAAAAGCAGTACAGATGGCAGCAGTTGCAGAACATGGCTAGAATGCTAAATATGCTGTAACGCAATTTCTACCAAAAATGAACCGTGAACGTGTTGCAGTTGGGATCTGTGTACACCGAGGGAGGGATGGTACAGGGAAAGAGTCACAGTGTTGGACTCTTCCGCTATATGGACGTGTTCAAGGGAATCCCCTTCGCCGCTACACCTGGCAGATTAGAGAAGCCCGTTCCTCACCCAGGCTGGGACGGTGAGTACACCTGTCTGTTTAGATGTTTTCAGGCACAACTAGGGTCTAAAATACGTGTATTTTAGTGCATTGACAGTGCACTGCTGCTGACTCTTACCTGCACAGGTGTTCTGAAAGCCACTGACTACAGTAAGAGATGCATGCAGCTCAATCTTCTCGCTACTGATGTCGTGGGCAGTGAAGACTGTCTCTACCTGAACATCTGGATTCCTCAGGGCAACACTGGTAATCCAAATTTGTTCTAAATCACAAGACAACACTAAAAGTAAGTTAAAGGCATAGTTCACTCGAAAATCACAATCCTGTCATTATTTACTCACTCTTATGCCATTCCAAACTTCTGAGGAACAAAAAAGAACATTTTTGTCCATACAGTTAAAGTCAATTGGGTCCAATGTTGTTTGACAGTGTTGTGTTTGATGGGAGAATTTTGTTGTTTGATGGGTGAACTAGCCCTAAATTATTTACAAATATTACCCTGCTAAGGTTCTCAGGGGAACACAATAGTTTTGCTATAGGAACGCAAAAACATTGAAATATAATTTTTCCTCCAATCAAATTTGTCAGGTATTGCATTTTACGGAAAATCTTAAAAGCACTGAAAGTTTTTCTCCTGCCTCATATTAATTCCATCACATAAGCTAACATTCCCAATGTTCTCCGAACGTTCAAAACATCCAGTTTTTTAAATGTTAAAAAAAAAATTAAGGGAGCATTCCATTTTATAATTTTGCAAACATCATGGGAACATTACTTTTTAAAGTTTTCTGAAGATTCTGAAACAAGTTTAAAACCATTTAAGAATCTATAAATTATGATTTGTGCTAACATTTTGAGAACATGATTAAAGATCAGATGACTTTGAATGAATGTTTTGAAAGAATTAACATTACTGGAAGAACTTTTTTTATTCACAACTTTGAGAGAACCTTGCCAGAATGTTAGCTGAAGTTCTGAGAATGTTCCCTGTTAGCTGGATAGAAGCTTAAACTTTTGGACCCAGCTGTATTCATTGTATATACTGTATGGATTGATTGTAGTATTTAAATGATAACCTGAGCATGTCCTGCTCGATAGGAAACTATGGCCTGTGGGATCAGCACACCGCTATCGCTTGGGTACACAGAAACATCAGGAATTTTGGTGGCAATCCAGACAACATCACCATCTTTGGAGAGTCAGCAGGGGGAGCCAGCGTCAACTTCCAGGTGCAGCATGAACATTTTTTTTTTGTTTTACTTGCATGCTTATGTATTACATTTTAATGACTGAGTCTTTGTGTGTTGTTATGGCTGCAGAGTGAGCATGTTCTCAGTAATATAGTTTCTAATTTCTGTGTGTGTGTCCCATCCTGCACAGATTCTTTCCCCTAAAAACAACGGCCTGATCCGCAGAGCTATCTCACAGAGTGGTGTTGCTCTCTGTCCCTGGGCTGTCAACAGAAATCCACGACAGTATGCTGAAGAGGTGAGCTTCACCTTCATGAATGTCCCACATTGCCAAGTACAAAAACAGACATTGCGTACAGTACTCGCATCTAACATAAAATGGTCGCAAAATCCTATGGAATTTGTTTACTCTCATTCCCAGCCTTTTGCAAAATACTTTAGTGTACACTTGCTAGTGTTTACTTAGTGAAGTCACCTGTTCAGTTTCACATACAGACATTTGAATGTTTTTGTTGGTTAATAATTAATGTATAGATATCACAACTTGGTTTACAGCTACAATTCATAGTTATTTCTTTAAAACGATATCAATTCTTTTTTGTACACCTTTAGATTGCAAGAAAGGTAGGATGTCCTACTGATAGCGGGATGGTGGCTTGTCTGAGGATGACAGATCCAAAGGCTGTAACTCTTGCTGGGAATGTGAAATTCAGTACATCTGCTTCCGGTAAGAAAATTTAGAATGTCTGCTTGTGTCTTTTAATTCCTTTACATGCTTTTTAAAGCAGTAGTTCAAGCAAAATGAAAATTCATTGACTCACTGAAGATGAGTAAACGATGATACAATTTTCATTTTTGGGGTGAACTGTCCCTTTAATATGGCTGAACGTCTGATCCCATTATTTTATTTCAGTTAACGTTTATTTTATTTAAAGTAATGAAACTCATTTTATTGCTTTAGTTTTAGTTATCTATAATAACTGGCACAAAACCACAGTAAATGCAATGCAAAGTCGAATTTTTTTTCCAGATCCAATTGTACACAATCTGGCTCTGTCCCCGGTAATTGATGGTGATTTCCTCCCCGCCGAGCCTGATACCCTTTTCGGGAATGCTGCTGACATTGATTACATCGCTGGAGTCAATGACATGGATGGCCACATCTTTGCTACCCTCGACATCCCCTCTATCAACAATGCCCTGGTGTCCACCCCTGTGTAAGTGTGCTACATTAAAGAGTCATCTGGAATCATTTTGAGAATTTTTAAAGACCCTATAAAACCAGAAAGAGAAAGAGGGTTTTATGGCTTTTGTTTATGTCTGCTAGCGTTGAAGCATATAGAGTTTTTTTCTGGCCACAATATATCTACTCAGTATTTTTTTTTAACATATGCTTTATGTCTGTAAACAGTGCACTTTCATTTTTCTAATGGAAAAAAAACCCCCAGTAAAACATTTAAAGGAATAGTTCACCCAAAAATGAAAATTACCCAATGATTTACTCACCCTCAAGCCATCCTAGGTGCATATGACTTTCTTCTTTCAGATGAAAAATATCAGAGTAATATTAAAAAAATATCCTGGCTCCTCAAAGCTTTATAATGGCATTGAATGGTGGTCAGGATTCTGAAGCCCAAAAAAGTGCGCCCATCCATCATTAAAAGTACTCCACACAGCTCGGGGAGTTATTAATAAAGGCCTTCTGAAGCTGGAACGCCACTCTCTAGTGAACGTGCGTACGACAGTTAGTGGAAGCTAGAGATTACGGTGTATAAAAATATGAATAGTTTTCTTACACAAATGCATCGCTTTGCTTCAGAAGGCCTTCATTTTCTTTGCCTATTTTTTAAAAACATCTTTAAAATACACTACAATCAAAAGTTTCCAATCGGTAATATCTCTTTTTTGTTGTTGTTTTTGAAAGAAGTCTATTATACTCACCAAGGCTGCATATATTTGATCAAATAAATTAATATTTTTTGTAATATTATTGTGGAAACAGTGATACATTTTTTTCAGGATTCTTTGAATAGGAATTTCAAAAGAACAGCATTTATTCAAAATAGAAATCTTTTGTAAAATTATAATTAATGCATCCTCGCTGAATAAAAGTATAGAAAGTTCAAAAGAACAGCATTTGTTCTTACAAAAGTCATTATAAGTCACTTCTGATCAATGTTATGCATTCTTGCTGAATAAAAGTATTGATTTATTTTTTAAACATCGCACCGATCCCAAACGTTTTGAACGGTACTGACAGGGGCCTTTATGGTCATGATTTCAAAAAAACTACTATTGATTTCTAACAGGGAGGAGGTCAGGGCTCTCTCGGTTGCCCTGTCTGAATCTAGAGGACTAGATGCTGGTATCGCAACTTATGAGGAGTACACAGTCAACTGGGGTAGCAACCCTAGCGATTCGGACATTAAGAAAACTGTTGTGGACATTGAGACGGACTACATCTTCCTGGTGCCAACCCAAACGGCCCTATACCTTCACTCTGACCATGCCAAGTAAGCTGACCTCATCTTCTTATTTACTGACCTCTAAAGTGAAACTGAATAGTATAAAGCTTCAAAACAACCTTTCTTTCCCCATTAGATCTGGACGAACCTACTCCTACCTGTTCTCTGAGCCCTCTCGCATACCAGTCTTCCCACTCTGGATGGGTGCCGATCACGCTGATGACCTTCAGTATGTGTTTGGGAAGCCTTTCACCACTCCTCTGGGCTACTTTCCTCGCCATCGTGATGTTGCCAAATACATGATTTCCTACTGGACCAATTTTGCTCAAACTGGGTATTTAAAGATTAAAATACTTACTATATTATAATACTTCATCCTATTCTACTTTAATGTGTAGGAATAACTGTAATAATGAAATTATATATTAGAGTACTATGGTACTAGGCCTCTATTTTTGTGCAATTACATTTGTTTTTTTTATATTTTGAGTTTTTCTCTCATTTTTATTTTCTGTTTTTATTTTAATTTCAGTTAATATTTTTGTTATTTTGTTGTGTATTTGTATCATCTTTATTAGTTTTAAATAGGTCTATATAGTTTTTATTATTTCAGTTTTAATTTCAGTTTAGAAATGTTGCTTTGACAACTTTAAATATAAATATAAAGTTTTATATATATATATATATATA